TGGTTCTTAGTCATTGTTTTACGGCTCATGCGTCTGCAATCAAACAAAACATTGTCATTATCACATAGCGTTAAATATAATCTTCAGTGCCCCCCCCCCCCCAAAGATTTTGCAGTGCTCCCCAAAGATTTTTAGCTTCCGCCGCCCCTGTTTTGTTTGCACCTTGTCTAGACAGAAGCTAAGAGAGTTAAATTGAGAATCTCGTCAGGTGCAGCAAAAGTGAAACTTCAGCAGTTGACCATGCAGGTGGGGAAAAAAAGCACTTTAAAATTATTAAAAACGAATCGCTAACATTTTCAAGTAGATGATAAACAAAAGAATATATTTGTCTTTGGTGAGAAGGTTTGCAAAAAATTAAGCAAAATGTTAGGAAACGCGATGAAAATATAATAGTATCAGAGGAGGCTGATCAAGTGGCACGTGACCTAATCGACCAATCACAATCAAAATGACAGTCACCGGCATCTCTGTGATATGGTCGTGTTTATTGTTTGCAGGAAGGAAAAACATTAATCAGTTCAATCTGACTAGTCCCTTGCTTCAAATCCTTCAAACGCGGGAGTATTTTGAACAGTTTTGAATTCGACACTTTCAATTCGGAGTAGTTTGCTAAATCACAGTTAGAAAGACTTCAAACTACTACCGAGATAAGTGCTAACTGCTTTTCCCTTGTTTGCACAGTAAACAATCATTCCACTCATTAAAACCTTCCTTAAGGCAAGTGCAACAGGTTTTTTCTTGCTTAGATTTTAGAGTTACATTGAGGGAGAAATGGTATAAAATAGTTTGTTTTGCTCTATTATTCATGCACGGTAGAAATAGTGCTTTCAGCCTGACTGGACTCACCGCTGCAACTCTACGATTTAGAAGCTGACTTATTGAGGACAATTCTCTCTAGTTAGTGAGTACTAGTTGGCTTTCATCCTTGCCTGCTACCTTCGACTTCCTTGATTGTTCGCCCTTTTGCTCGCCCTCTTGCTTGCCTGCTTGCTTTGTTTGATTGCTTGCTTGCTTGCTTGCTTGCTTGCTTGCTTGCTTGCTTGCTTGCTTGCTTGCTTGCTTGCTTGCTTGCTTGCCCTCTTTCTCGCCCTCTTGCTCACCCTCTTGCTCGCCCTCTTGCTCGCCCTCTTGCTCGCCCTCTTGCTCGCCCTCTTGCTCGCCCTCTTGCTCGCCCTCTTGCTCGCCCTCTTGCT